AAAATGAACAAAAAATATGAAATAATAAGATTAATCAATAATAAAAGCTAAAGTTGAAACTAAAATGGAGAGTTAAATTAAAAAAAAGAATAAAAAAAGCAAGCGCAATAAAAAGAAAAAGAAAAATGAGCTTTATTGCTTTATATTAGTTTTTATAATTAAAAATATCACAATCCAAAGCAAATAAGCTGTTTTTATCAATTGTAAATGCTAGTAGCAAATAATTAATAGTAAATAAAAGAGCTCAAAATATTTGTTTTAATAAAAATAAATGAAAAATGATGACAATTTCTATTAGAAAAATCATTTTTTTAAATAAATTGAAAGTTAAATATACAAAAAATGTTAATAAAAATAATAATAATATTTATAAATTAAATCTACGTCAGATTAATATGGAGAACCCAATGAGATAAAAGTGAAGATTTTAAAAACTTTTTTTATTAATATATTTTTATATTTATAAGATATTAATAAAAAATAAATAATTACTTCTTATAAATCTTCGTAATATTTTATCTATTATATCATTTATTTTTTTTCAAAAATATTGAATAACAATTTATGGAATTTAATTAATTTTAAATGGATAAAAACAACAAATAAAATGCAATAAATATCAAATATTAACATTATAAATTTGCTTTTACGAAGAGATATCACAGAAAAATTAATTTAAAATCATTATTTAATTTTAATATTTTTTTTTTAAATATATACTTAAAAATATGATAGGAATTAGAGTTAAACAGTTTGTCAAATTTAAAATAATTCTAGTAATTAATTAATGTTCTTAAATTTTATAAAAATAATTTTTATAAGTATAGTACTCCTCACAAAAAAAAATTCATGACCTGGCAAGTGGTCATGCAGCACGCTTGCGGTGCCTACTGCAGTACTAGCTGCGTGACCGCTTGCCAGCAAAATAGGACTGGGTAGGGTACTTTAAAATTATATATATGTTGTATTTTTATAAAAATAAAAATTAAAAAAAAATATTATTAAAAAAATTTAAAATATTTAAAAAATTAATTAAAACATTTATTTTGCAAGTATGAATACTACTTTTTGTTTTAATTACCTTTAATATTTACATAAAATAAATTATTTTACAAACAATTTGTATGTAGTTTCTTTGTTAGCCAAATAAATAAATAAATAAATAAAAGAAAAAATCTAAAAGCTAAATAATTTATTTTTATTATATTTATAATTTTTGAAATGATACAATTAAAAAATTAACTTTTACATATTATAAATGAATGCATAGTTGAAATTATTATGAGAAACAAATATATAACTTTTTTTAATTGATATTGTTGTTTGTCAAAATTTTAAAAGACAAACAAGCAAACAATTAATTTAAAATACAAACAAATATTTAATAACTAACTAGATTGATTATAGATAATATTTATTTTTCAATGTAAAATTTACAAATTATTTAGGATTGATTGAAAAAATGAATGAATAAATGAATAAATACAAAAAAACATATATAGACTGATAAAGGGAAGAGTCTCTTGATAAATAGAATAAATAAGCATTTTAGGAATTGAAAAGAAAGTAAACAGTGATATTTATAATTGAATGTATATATAGATTATTTGTTAATTATTTTGTTTAATTAATTATTGTTTCAGAGTTAAATAATCAATAAGAGAGTTAGTTAAATAGCTATTTAGTTTACTAAATTTAGAATAAGGTCATGAATTTGAGTTAAGAAGGAGTTCTTCCTTGGTAAAGAAACAAGCATAATAAGCTGCTTTTAAAGAATGAGATTGGGAAGGCTAAATAATCCACATACAATCTTCCCCCCATCAATCATGTTTATGGCAAACCTCCAAAAAAAGATGCTGAAGGAGCCAAGGAAGGTAATTTTTTGTTCATTATTAATGAGAAAGCAGAAAGAGTTTAAAAATAAATGAATCCAACTTAGTTCAACGAATATCCAAGAATTAATAAATAATTTTGTAATGTATAATTCAGTTACAATGACTTGGAAGTATCATGACGAAAGTAAAGACAAAGAACCACCTAGAGATTTTTTAAAGCTCAATCGCGATTGCATAAAAGACAAATGCTTTAATGCGAAGGTAACAAAAATATATAAAATATGAACATATAAATCAAAGCAGGAATATTTAAAGCATAAAAAAAGCAAAATTAAATAAATATTAAAGCAATTTAATTTTAAAATAGAATTTATTTCAAATAATTTTAAAAATTTAGGAAATCTCAAGATATCGTGACTCTCATTAAGAAGTAAAGAAGAAAATAAAGAAAGGTAAAATTGGAATTGAATTAGACTTGCCTAATGATGACTTCCGTTACGGTGTGAGAAATAAGTAAATTATTATTTCATGAATAAAATCAGTTAATAACTTTTTTCTATTAATAGACCATCTACTCCTATAAACTAAGTATTAGGTAAGAATTAATTGCATATAAATACATAGATAGATAGATAAATAAATAAAGAGATAAAGCAATAATTAACTAATAAATAAATAAATAATATTTAATACTTTATATAAAGATTGATTTTCAACAAAAGAACGTTTTATTTTTTAATTTCTATTTTATTTTGAAAAAAAACTATAATTTAACTAAAAGAATTGCATTATTTGTAGGAGCATGAGAGAAAACTTTTAGATTATTATGCAATCCAAAGATAGGAAGTAAGTTTTAGAGAGTTAATTGATCACATTTTAAAACCCTTACTTGATATTTAATTAATAGTAAAAGAAGGAGAAGAAACTAGTTATTAAATCAAATCAAGCAAGCTAGTTAAGATCAATTTCTCAAGAAAGATTAGATTAGTAAAAAGTTGCTTAAAATATTGTAAACGATTTCAAGTTAGAAAGATTTAAAAATATCAAGCCAAAAATTCAAACTAGATCAAACCAGAATCTTAATTAAAATCACAGCTAAGAGGAGTTCCTTAATTAAAGCTCAGAACATGCCGCATGATTTACAAAAATAAAACCCACCAATTAAAATAAATTCGTTTTTTATCTACTTTTCTTTCTGTGTTACTTACATTCATATTAAAAGTTTTAAATTCTTCTTATCAAATCATTTCCTTTCCTTTATTTCATCTTTCATATTTATTTTTAAAGCTTTATTTAAAAGATGTTTTTAATAGAGAGTTATAATTCTTTGTTACACTTCTACAGTTTTTTTATGATTGATTATATTTTATAGAAAGCAAAACATTCATAAAATGAACTATTAAATAAAATAGATTTTTAATAATACTTTCATAAATAAATTTATTGTTGATTAATTTTAATATTTACTAAAATTATATCCATAAAACTTTTGAACGATAAAACATATTTAAATTATTATTTTGGATTTAAATTACATTGAAATAATCTTTTTATAAAGAAATTATCAATTTTGTTTTTCAATTAAATTATTGAATGAGATTTGAATTACTTTCAATGCTATTTAATTAATAATTGAATATTTGATGTAAATTTTTAAAAAATTAACAATGAATATCTAGAATAATAAAAATTACTTTTCATTTTAAATTTAAAAATATTAAATTTTATTAGCTAGTTTAAATATTTTCAAATTATAAAATATAATCTTAAGCTAATAATAAATAAAATTTCTAAAATAACAAAATATTTACATTATAATTTTTGTTTAGAAAAGTAACAAATTTTACTGCCTTTATTTTAAATATTGTTAAATAAGAAAATTTAAGCCAATTAATTTTAAGTAATATTTATAAAATAATAATATTTTTAAGAGAGAAGAGATGATTGCTGATAATTAATTTTTAATTATCATAAGATTGAGAGTAAAAAACAACAAAATGGATCTAAAAAATGAGTTAAATTATTTAAATCATGGATTTTTATATATTAATATCATTAATATATTCTTTTTAGTAAGAAAGTAATACAATACTCATAAGACTTTAAAAGTTTAGATTTATTTATATTTAATTTAAATGCATAATAAATAAATGATTAAAGCAATCATTTATTTATTTATGTATTTGTTTTTATTAATTATAATCGCTTAAGGAAAAATGAACAAAAGAAATTAAGGACAGATATATAAATCAACCATACAATGAAATTTATATGATGTATTGATTATATGTTAGTTAAATTTGTAATATTATAATAGTGTGTAACTTAATTATTAATAGAGTATTTTATATTCAATTCATCAATTTGCCTAATTTGTTTATTTTTTAACATTTTAGAGTAATAAAGCTTTTTCTCGCTCACTCATCTTCCTCTTCTATTCCAATCAATTCTTATACTTCTGATAGCTTTTTATTCATACCTTCAGCTATTTGACCAATACCATCCTTACACATTCTTCTACGTCTCTTGTATTCTTTCTGTAATTTAATTATAAATAAATAAATAAATAAATAAATAAATAAATAAAAAATTTGAATTAAAAAGTTTAAATTAAATTAATTTACCTCCATTTTTTGATATGCTTCTTCGTGCTTCTTAACATCGGATTCTGATGCTTAAACGAATTTATCACTTTAATAGAAATGCATTTTATCTTCTAGTTACTTAATCTGATATTTAATTTAAAGAATATTTAGAAAAGAATAAAAAGAAGAGAGTAAATAAATAAATAAATAATAAAATATTTTACCATTTTTTCGTTCTTTACAATTTCTTCTTAAATTTAAGCATTGGTTAATTATTTATTATAAGTGGCTATTTTTTTAGTAAGTTCTTTGATTTCTTCACCAATTTCTCTCAAGTAAACTCTTTTTTCATTCAAATCATTTTGCATTTATTCTAGCTCTGATTTATCAACCTATGGCAACAAATCTTAATTCATGAGATAAATTTTAGCTTTACCAAACTCTTTGCAAGTCAATTTATTCTATTTTAATGGTTTAAGTAAAATGATCTATGTTATTTTTATTACAAAATTAAATAGCTTACCTTACTGACCAACCCATCGAGCATTTTCTATAAAGCGGTCTTCTTAATTTTTCCATGTAAATTATCACAAATATTAATCAAAGAATATGGTCTATTAGCTTTCTTCATATATTCAAGTACAGTATCATCTAATATAAAAATCAATCAAATTTATTAGCTTTAAATTTCACTTGAAGTTAAATTACCATCAACAGTGCCTCCATCATCTTCATCTTTTTTTCCCTTCTTAGCAGGAGCACCCTTTTTAGCAGCTCCACCTTTTCCCTTTGGTTTAGCCTCTTCACTATCATCATTAAAGTCGTCTTCATCATCGCTTTCTTTAGATTTCTTTTTGCCTTTGGCTGCAGGAGCTTTAGTAGCAGGAGCCTTCTTTTCAGGCTTTTCAGCTGCCTTACCCTAATAAAAAGATAAATTGAAATAAATAAATATTTCTAAAAATGGAGTATTTCTACTTTTTTAGCAGCGGGTGCAGATTTAGCAGCACCTTTTCCTTTCTTTTTTGGCTTTTCATCAAATTCATCTTCCTCATCATCGTCATCTTCAGAAGGTTCTTCTTCAATTTCATCTTCTTCATCTAATTCATCATCTTTTTTTTCTTTTGTTTCTTTTTTTTCTTTAATTTCTTCTTCTTCGTCATCCATATTTTCTGGCTTGTCTTCAATAATTTCCTACCAATTAATTATTTGAAATTTGATAATTAATTTCAATTCAAAAATGATTGATTTCTCAAAATTTTGATTACAATGTCTGAATCTTCATCATCAGATCCTTTCTTTTTTGCTCCTTTTTTCTATTTAGGATCTTTTTTAGCTGCGCCCTTCTTAGCTCCCTTTGCTGCCTTAGGATCTTTCTTAGCAGCAGGAGCAGTAGGTGCAGGAGGAGCTCTTGCTCTTGTAGATCTTCTTCTTCCTGTATCTTCAGCTTGATCGTTTTCTTGAGCACCCTCTTCAACATCAACTTTTTCTTCAACTTAACTCATCTTTGTATTAACAATTCAAACTATGGAATAATTAGTTGGTTATGTTTGATATTATTTGTTGATTTATTTATTAATTATAGATTATGTAGCTATTTATGTATTGCTTGTAATTAGCACTGATAGATAGATAGATATACTAAATTATTAAAGGCAAAAAATTATATTTACTAATTGTTTTTGATTTATTATTATTTTTACTTAAAATAATATAATTTGAGCGCACAAAAATTATAATCTATTAATCCAATTGATTTTAAATTAAAAAATATCCTTTTCATTCTATTTATGACTGTTGAGTTCAAATATATCTGATATATCCCTACAAGCGGTAAAAAAGTATTGGAGCCAATTCCTTTTATCTTATTTTGTCATATTTTCTCAGTTAAATTAATTGTTTCTATTTAAACACAATTCAGATCTTAAAAATTACATTCTTTTATCAAGCAATCATACATTTCTCTATGCATAAACAAAGCAATATGTATTAAATTAATTTCTTATTTTTATAAATTTTTTTGAAAATAATTTTTTTTTCTTTAATATTTTAATTCTTTATTCATAATTATTTATTTTATTATTTTTAATTTTTTGGTGTTCACATATTGTTCTTTTGAAAGATAAAGTTTTAACTTAATTTTTTGTTGCATTGAATTTTTAATTTTTAGTGCTAATAATAACAATTATAAAAATTTTGCATTCATTTGTTATTATAAAGAAAAAAAATTTATCCCTTTTCATCCAAAATTAAGATAGATTGGATTGGTAAATGATTAAACCAAGCAATTTAATATAAATGAAAAAATTTTATAATAAAATCATAATTTAATTAATTTTTATTTAAAAGAAACTAAATTAATATTTAATTTTTAATAAGAATACAAAATAGTTTAATTGAGAATAAAAATAAAAATTTATGATTTAAATAAATTTAAAAATATGATACAGTATTATAGCAAAAATTAAAGGAAATTAACACTCTTCACTAATTTAAATTAAAATTATTAAAATAAACTCATCTTAACTTTAGTAATCCATTTTATCAACATTAAATATAAGTAAATAAGATTTTCATTTTCATTTTGAATCTTTAGAATAAAATTAAAAATGTATTTTCATATTTAATAATTAAAAAATTGTTGAATGTGGCAAGTTTTCTTAATGATTATTAGGAATAACATATTAATTAATAATAATAACTTTATTCATTTAAATTTTGATTAATCCTCCCTCATACATTTTATATTTTATTTATGCAAAAAAAGAATTGAGAATAAATAATTTAGACAAATTTAATATATATTCAGGGTAATAAATCTACTTGTTCTAATTTTCATCAAGAGTTGATAAAATTATCAATTTGAAGATATATCCGAATATTTTTTTTAATTAAAATTTTTTTGATTATTTTATCTACAAAGAAACACTAACTATCCTTTTAAAAAAATTAAATAATTTTATATTATAATATTCAATTTTGCTTTTTTATAACACAAATAAAACTGTTCTTATAAATAAAATAATTCATTTAATTTCCAATCTCGTTTTTCTGATGAACAATTTTTGATAAAAAAAATTTCTGATGAAGCAAATTAATTTTGTTCATTTAGCAAAGAAAATAGGATAAGCCAATTTAATCTAAATTAAAAAAAAATAATTGATTATCAAAGATATCTAATATTGAATTAATTATTAGTAGAGATAAAAGGTATAAATTAATATTTAGTTAATGAGTAAATAAAAGAAATTTAGTTTTATAAGGTATTTTGACATTTTCGCACCTCCTTATTATTAAAAGATAAACTAAGATCACTACAAAAAGAAAACAGTTATAGGTGGTGTTTTTTCTATTATCTATGTTTCAGCTTCTTTAGGTTACTTTTTATATTTGATGATTTATTTTTACTAAGGAAAGATTTCTCCTAAATTTAATCAATTTGACGAAGTATAAGATGAAGGAATCGAGTATTAAATAGCAAGTGAAGCTCTGTTTATTTAAATATTGTAGGATGGAGAAGATATAATAGAAATAGAAAAATAAAATAAAATATAATACTTCGATATATATCTAAAAAATCAAGATCGCTAAATAAATTCATACTATTATGATAACTTAATCAGATTTGGAGAATCAGGCAACACATATTTATCTCTTAAAAGCGAAATGATCCCTTTATAAGGAGATGGAATAGAATTTACTATTGAAAAGTGTTCTGGAAATTTATTAAGAGATTAAACTTATAGGTGTGCTTCAGAAAATGAGATTTAAGAGCTATTATAGAAATAAGATTTAGGTGTAATCCTTTCGATAGGTGACTTAAGTTTTTCTATCAAAAATAATGAGAAAAAAACTAGAGTATTTCTTTCTATTAGTTCAATTAGTTTGAATTCATAAGCGATAAATCTAATCAATCTGCAATTACAGTAAATCCAAGTCCAGAAAGGTTTATTGTTCTAAACTTCTAAAAAATATGTTTAAATAGCTGACTTAAGTTAATAAACAGCATAATACACTAATCGATCTCCTAAAGGTCAACCCTTTTGCTCCATGATGGTTATTTTAAACAATGTAGTTAAATAAACTTAAGTTTAATACCCTTTACTCTCTGAAGTATTAGCCTACGTTTGGGGTATTGCTTCTATGCTATTACTTACAGGTTATATTTTTAAGTGCATCGCAGAAGCCACACTTGCATAGGACTTTTTAGGTATTCAATTAAAATATTACTACAAAAAAACAGCCATCAGATTATTTGGTAAAGCGGATAACGAAAAAATAAATAATACCATTATTGAGTCAAAGTAAGAAGCTGAAGCAATTTTAAAATAAAATGAGGTAATTCAAAATGTTAGCTTTAAAAAAAACTTGAAGAATTATTTTCAAATCTCTAATTTTCAAAAGTAAATTGATTGATTGATTTATTTTTTATTTATTTTTTGCTTGCATTTTATTATTGATTTTGCTAAATATTTTAAATTTCTCTAAAGAATTTTTAAAAAATAAAAATTGAAATAAAATATTTAAATTATTTTTTATTGTTAAAAATAATCATTTTTTTTGATAATTTTAATTTTATAAATAGATGGAAAGCATTTTTTTTGCCTACTTATTGTTAGAGAAGAAAGAAAAAATTAACAAAAAAAAATTAAGAATTGTTAGATATTTTAATTAAATAGACAAACAAAGATATGTGTGTATTCGAAATGCAAAAGGAGTTTCTAAAAATGAGGACAGCAATAAAGCTATTGCTAACACCAGAGCAATACTCTGCGATTCAAATGTGTGGCTGTGATTTAATTAATGAAGAATTAAATTATTAAAATGATTAAAATGAAGATTAGAAAGCAAAAGATAATGTTAGCAATTCGTAAAAAGAAATGGATGACAAAGTTTTGGATCTTGAAATTTCAGATATTCATTCCCCTTTAAACAAATATTAACTTGATTAATCCATCTAAGAAGTATCTTAACAAAAAGCTTTAAATCATTTAGAAATAATGAATAAAGTAGATACCGACAATCCATATAGATAGGATTGCTTGCAGAGGTTCTTAAATGATAACTAATTTAATTATAGCAAAGATTAGCAGTAAATAAATCAAAGGATCAAAAATTGCATAATCGGAATTTAAAATAATCCTGAAAAATATAATTATTAAAATCAAGAAGACAATTTTTTTTCAATAAATTCTAAAAACTAAATATTTTAAAATAATAATAAATCAATAAAAGATGAATGAATGATAAACGAATAAATAAATATTTTTAAATACAATAAACAAATTTAGCTTTAAAAGCAATTTATTAAGCTAAAGGGTATTAAATTAATGTTAATTAGTTGAAATTTTGTAGGTTTTTTGCTGATTTATATTTTATTTAATTTTTATATTGTTGATTATAATAGATATTTATTTTTGCTCTGTTAATTTTTTTTTTTTTTTTTAAATTTTGAGATTTTATTTATTGTAAGCAATCTTTAATAGCTGCAAAAACTTTATTAATACAAAATATTATGAAGCTGATGATTGGACCTTAATCAAAAATTTTCTATTTGATAAAAATTTGGCCCTTGATTAATGAGGATTTACAGTATTTTAATTCAAATTCGCCTCATTACTGGACTAAAATAAAAAAATCTAAAAAATTAAAATTATTTTATCAAAATTTAAGTACTTAATTAATTAAACTCATTACTAGAGTTTTTTCAATATATCACTACGCAACTGTCTTTGATTCTTGTTACATTTTTAATAATAAATATTAAGATTTAATAAAAAATATTACACTATCTTATTTGTGATATCTCTTTGAAAAAGCAAATTTATAAATTTGTATTTGATAATTATTATGATTATTTATTTGTTCTTTTAATTCAAATGAATTTGATATAAAGGTGAATTAATTTATTAATATTCAAATACTTAATTAAATTTATACAAATTACTATTCAATAATTTTGAAGAAAAAAAAATAAATGATCTAAAAGGAAAAATCATTTTATAATCTAAAAAAAGTAAATATTTATTTTTTATTAATATCCTTAAAATTTATTTTTATTAATAAAAAAAGTTTTTAAAGTCTTCATATTAATCACATTAGGTTCTTTATATTTAATTGGCAAAAAAGAGGTATATTTAATTTATTCAAATTATTATTATTAATATTTTTTTATATTTAATTTTCATGCTATTGACAGTTTTATTTTTCTTATGATATTATCATCAATAATCATTCATTTTTATTTTAATTTAATTTTCACTTAATTTTTAATTTTTTAAAACTTTTTATTTTTATGAATTTATTTTTTCCTTAAAAGTAACATAACTCTACATTTTTTATTCATTAGTTAAAAATTGCAGATTAATTGGATTTATATAGTTTTTTTTCTGCTTGCTATTATTTTCTTACTCTCTCTATTAATTTAACTCATTTTTTCATTTTGAATTTTTGATTTTATTATTAATTAATTTATTTATTTTTATATTATCATATATTTCTTCTAATTAACTATATATGTTTTTTTCGATATTTAAAAAGGTATTCATCATCCCTACATTCTCTTTTAGGAAAGTTCCTTAATCTCTTGAAAATTACACATAATCTGTAAAAACAATTTATTTGTTTTAAATTTTGATGTTTTTTAACATAAAAATTAATTTAAAGCAATTAAGCTAACTAACTCTTTTAATTTATTTACTAGCTTTATATTTGATTTATTTTTCTTTTTTATTCTGCTAATTTTTTTTATTTTGTTTTTTATTTGTTAATTTAATTCATTTTTTTTTCAACTTTAACTTTAAATAATTATTTATTTAATTCATTACTTATTATTTTATATTTTTTCTTAATTTTTACCTTCGAACTAACTAATTAACAATATATTGTTTTCAAAATTTAAAAAGGGAAAATTTAATTTTTGACGAAGATGCATCAAGCTTAGGTTCTGGTTTAGGTTAGTGTACTAATCTCTCAAATTTGACACTTAATCTTTAGTATAAACAGTTTACTTGTTGATTGCGATTTTTTTTAATATTAAAATGAATTTAAAACAATTAAGCTAGCTAACTCTTTTAATTAATTTATTTATTTTTTATTCTACTAGTGTTTTTTTCCTTTGCTTTTTATTTGTTAATTTAATTCATTTTTTATTTTCAATTTTAACTTTAAATAATTATTTATTTAATTCATTACATATTATTTTATATTTTTTCTTAATTTTTTCCTTCGAACTAACTAATTAACAATATATTGTTTTCAAAATTAAAAAGTTGGAATAGAATTGGTGACAAAGGTGCATTAGACTTAGGTTTTGGTTTAGGAAAGTGCACTAGTCTCTCAAATTTGACACTTTATATTTAGTATAAACAGTTTACTTATTGATTGCGATTTTTTTTAATATAAAAATGAATTTAAAACAATTTAGCTAGCTAAATCTTTTAATTTATTTATTTATTTATTATCTTTGTATTTGATTTATTTTTCTTTTTTATTCTGCTTGTGTTTTTTTCGTTTGCTTTTTATTTGTTAATTTAATTTATTTTTTATTTTCAACTTTAACTTGAATTAATTATTTAATTCATTACTTATTATTTTATATTTTTTCTTAATTTTTTCCTTTGAACTAACTAATTAACAATATTTTGAGAGAA